TTTATTCTTTTTTTTCAAAAGTATGTATTTCTATTAAAATTTTACATATTTGAACAATAATGCATCATCATCAAAAATTAATAAAATTTATTATTTTTATTTCAAATAATAACTTCATAACCTTAACTTTAGTGTTAATAACTAAAAATTTTGCACTCAAATCTTTTGCATTACTAATTCAGTCCTATTTCAAATCTTATATTTGATACGCTAAAGTAAGAGTCTATCAAAAATTTTAATAAGATAAGTCATTTTTAATAAAGTAAAATGATTTCTAAAAAGAGAATTATAAATCTTGCATTTAAAAATAAAAACTACTCCTGTTTGTGAACCTCAGCGATTTTCGATAAGATTAAACCTTAATATATAACTGAAACATAAAACGATATAAAGAGTATAATTTTTGTTAAAATTTAGATTATATTTATGTTTTGTGCTAGAATTATTTGTAAATTGTAAGAATTAGAAATATTCATATAATTAAAATTCATTACTACAGTACAAAAATGAACAACTCAAGAAAAGTCTAAATCTTTATATAATTTTTATCTAGAAATACAAAAAAAGCTGATTGTCTCCTATGCTCTATTGATCAAATAGTATAGGGGTGATAAGGAAATTTATAAAGCTTAAAAAGGTTTTCTGCAATTTTTGGAAAAATTATTCTAAAATAGATGTTTAGAAGAATAAAAACAGATCAGTATATAATCAATTTAATATTCTTTTATTCCAGGTATTTTTGAATATTAATTATATTTAAATGTACTATCATCTTAAACCAAAGAATATATATTGAAATATTTTCGATATTTTTAATCAACTAATGATAATACTCTAAACTTAAAATTATGAATTTATAATTTTACAAAAAAAATTTTAATTTATTGATGTAAAGTGCTAAAACAAAAAGGTTCTAATTAAAATTAAAAAAGTAATTGCTCCTATTATAAAATACAAAAATTATCTACTAAGTATACAATAGGAATGAAAAATTTATTGACAGGAGATATGCATCTAAATTCTATCATCATGTTTAATATCAAACGATCTAAGTATTATCATGAGTCATGAACTCAAAAAAAGAAAAACGTTAATTTTTCAAGATTGATTATTCTACAAGCAATAATTTAAATTTTACTGAGAATTCATTTTCTTACAGTAAAGAAATTTAGGTAATCAAGATTAAATATTAGATTACAAAGTTTATTATTTCATAATTAAACTATATACCATTAAAAGAAATAGAAATCTATTTCATTATTAGATTATTGATGATATGATAATGAAAAGCTGAATAAATAATCTTTTATTTAAGTATATCAAATTTGAATTTTCTATAGTCTCTTTGATATCATCAAATTTTTATTATTTATTATTTTTAATTGCTCAACTAGGGCATTAGGTGAATAATTAATTTGTATATTTTAGTGAAAAAAATTGAATTTATAGTGAACTAAATAAGGAATAAGAAGTTGGGTCCTTAATTATTTTAGTATTATAAAAAGTAGGAAATTTTATATAAATCATTTATTATAATATTTCCAGATGTACTGATGAAATAATAACATGGTCTCCTTAAAATAATTAAATAAAAATATCGATGAAAAATAAATTTGTACATTAATTTTTTTTTTTACATCTTATTAATATTTGTATTAATTAACTCAATGTGGTTCGTAATTTATTTGGCCTCTTTATTGTAACAAACATTAAGAATTTTATATCAATAAAATTTATGATAGAATTTTCGTTAATTTACAAACGATCATCCAGTATCTTTATAATATAAAGTAGGATTTGAATTTTGGTTTTATTTATTTAAATAAAATTGATGGATGGTTTTATAATTTTAAGAATTTTTATTTTGCAATTGGTCTATTTTGAATCTATTTAGAGAATATATTATTAAAAATAGTTGGGGATTAACTTTTACGTCAGATCTAATTAATGATCTGAAAGAGAATCTGATAATTAATTTTTATATTAAATTTTACTTGTCAGAAATTTGTTCATGTTCTTTATGTAATATGTATCTTTAAATAAAATAACAATTAGAATATTGCTATTGTATTCGAATGCTTTCAGAATATTAAAAAATGGATTATTTATTAATATAATATTTTCTTAAATTATCTTTGTTATTCATTTTTAATTATTTTAAGTGTTAAAAAGTTTGATTTGAGAACTTCCTTTTTGGAGAATGAAAATCTTTGTTAACAAATTTATATTTAAGATTTAATAATTATTCATATTTCACTTGGTTGAATCCTTAGATAAATATAATTACAGCAATAAAATG